ACCAGGAAAGCTGCCTGTACACGTCTTAATGCCATGTGTGCGTAGTGCCAACATGGCCCTAGATGCTTCAAGGTTATTCTGTAGGGTGGCTTCTCTAATTTGCAAGAAATAACCAGATGTGTTAGTAGTTTGAGTTATCTCTGCAGGTAAGATGTGTGATTAGACTTGTTGAAAACAAATTATTAGTCTGTTAGATGAGCAGATAGGCCTCTGTCTTGCCTTTTCCTGGCCTGAAGAACTAGATGGATGTGTCTGGGGGTTTTTTCTTTTTTTTTTTTTTTTTTTTTTTTTTTTCCCCGTAGCCACTGATACAGATTAGACTGCTTTATTTTCCAATGTATGTAATCTTTTCTATATGCTGCGTATTTCCCTAAGAGACTTTGAATTTTACTCACTTAAATGAATTAATGAATGTCACTTTTTATTTTTAAATGGCAATGACTGTTGTTTGCCAGGGTGGTTCAGCCACAGCTGTTAACTCTTTGGCATTGGCCCCAGATGTAAGCAAGCTGGAAACTCCAGATTAAAGATACTAAAACTCATTAAAGAAATTGTTTGTCACAAGTTCAAAGCTGTCAGGGAAACTGTGTAAATCATGGGATGTGATCTGTGGCCAAATAACAGGTTTTTTCTCTTTCAGACACTATGTATACTTGCCAACATAGCAGATGGGACGACAGCAAAAGAACTGATTATGACCAATGATGACATCCTGCAGAAAATCAAATACTACATGGTATGGAGAATTTCTCTTAAAGGTTTTATGTTGGTCTTTTGCAGGAATAAAAAGAGGATGCTTTAGCATTTTGTTGTGTAAATTATTCAGTATTACGCACTTCACTTTCATATACCCAGTTGCGTCTAAGAAATCATGTAGTGCAGTTTTCTATATGCAGAGGTGTACTGAGGATCCGATTAAAAGGAAAATCCAGTGGTTATTTCCCATGAGGATGTTACAGTGACTTAAGCAACTTAAGCAATACCTGTAACAACTGTCTATGGAAAACATTACATGATCTTGGAAAAGGCACATCTTGTAGACCTCAGTAACTGTTTGGAAGGATATGATGAACGCTGCTCAAGTGCCTTATGTTATGGCACTATTTTTGAGAGAAGTTTTAGATAAAAGTTAGTCCCAACTTTGCTATGTTATTTATTACAGGATGAATGCCAAAATGTAGGCCTGAGAATTTCTGAATTTCTTCTTCTAAACTTGAGTACTGTTTTTCTGTGTTTAGAGTCATTCAAATGCTAAACTTCAGCTTGCTGCCATGTTCTGTATATCTAATCTCATATGGAATGAAGAAGAAGGTAAGAAAGCCTCGTTATTAATGCATATACAAGTTACTATCCTGATCAAAAGGCTCATGTTGCATAGTGATCAATATTTGCAGTGCACAGCACAGTGGGATCGAAAGCATAAAAGAGGACATCATTATAGGTATAATATGGAATAAATGAGAGTAGTAAGGAGGACATTGAGGAAAGCGTAGAGATCTGTTCTGGGACAGGAAGGGGAGACACAAGGAGAAAGTGTCAATAAATAGGAGTTGATGAGTCAGACAGTGGGAGGTTTCCACTTGTAGCATTTGTGTAAAATCTGAAAACAATTGGAGTGAAAGAGAATCCTAGTAAGAGAGCTTCCAAGTCTTAAGGAGGTTGTGGAAACTCATTGATGGAGGGAACAGGTTCACTGGAGAGGATAAATGGATTAGAAAGAGGATTTGTTGCTAAGAAATCTTCCCCAGCATGAGTGGTTTGAATGGGTTGGGCAGTGAGACTGAAACCAGTCAAAGGACTTGTGGGTGGAACTGGAAGGAATGGTGAAGGCATTTGGTAAGAAGAGTCATGATCTGGAACAGTGGAAGGCAGCCAGGAGGGAACTGAAGGATGCTGCTGCACAGAAAAATATGTGTGTTTGTGTTGAGGGGTGGAGAGGGAAGATAGAGGCAGCAGTGTAGAGCTGGAAGAAATGGCAAGGGAAGGAGTGGTGGGAGGTAGTGTGCTTTGAGGAATGGTGGGGCTGGGAGGAGGACTTTCTTAGATGGATGATTTACAGAACCTCAAGTTCATGCTGCTCTTCAGCAAAGAAATCAGTGTCTCTACTTGGTTTGGGGTTATTTTTCTCTACTGTGTAACTTAGTCCACATCTCTCAGATTGGTAGAACTTCATTCAGTGTGTGACACTTGGCTGTGCTCCTGGTGGCTTTCTGCTCATTATACTGGCATTATACAGTGCTACAAGTCAGACTCAAAAACACACCTCCAGTTAAATGTTCTCTGCATCCAAATCAGAGATGAGAAAAAAGCAAATGAAGTCAAGCTGCTTACTTGAAGATAAAATATGTTCAGATTTTTGCCTTCAAAATTTTCTTTTCTTTAAACATATGCGCACGGAGTAAAAAAAAAGAAACTAGAACTCCCTCGGGAAGTAGCCACAACTGAGGGAGTTTTGCCGTTGCTGTGTTCTAGCTGAACTGAACTGCGTTCCATACCCCTCCTTTAAGCTGGTTTCTTCTACCAGTCCTTTCTTCTGTCTGCAGACATTTATTTTTGGTGGTATTCCTAACAATGTGATTTACTGTTGTAGGTTCACAAGAACGCCAAGATAAACTGCGAGACATGGGAATAGTAGATATTCTACATAAATTGAGTCAGTCATCAGATCCAAATCTGTGTGACAAGTGAGTATAAGGAAAAATCCAAAAAGATTAGAGGGAAATCTTTGCTTTTTATTTAAAAGATAGCTTTTTTGAAATCTTTTGATTATAGAAAAATTCCCCAGAAAAAACTGTCTATCATTGCACTGAGTTTTACGGCGTATAAAGAAATTGTGATGAACACTTATTTAAAGACAGGTTTTGTATTGCTCAGGAGTAACAGATGTTACTGAAGTTCTGTAAAATAACTACACTTAACATCTTCTAAAACAGTGGAGGATCCTCTCTGAAATCTCACTGATACACAAATAATTGTGTAAACCATGAACTACTTACAAAGTTCCAGAGGATTGGAACGATGGTAAACCATCACATAACAGTAAGAATTAAAAAAGATAATACAGGCTCACCACTGTTGTTAATCTCAGTTAAATTCTTTTAAACTAATTAAGCTCAACAGTAACTTTTCGCACACCTGTTCTTGTTACTCATATTATAGCATCTACACAGATCATCTAGCTTCTTCACGAACACATATAACTAAAATAGCTAATGACAGTTTCTGATTTTATGTTAACTTTTTGCAATTATCCCACCTACAGTTAGTAACAACCCCTGTTTCTTTCATGAACTGAAGGAGATGATCTGATTTTTGGAAGAGATCATACATAGACAACACAACTGTGCAGTGTTTTAAAATGCATTAAATTTGGGGTTCTTGTTTTCATGAAAGATATTCCCGTGTTCTTAGACATCTTTGTAGGTAAGTTAGGACTGCTGTGTTTCAAATCTATGCCAAAGTATCAGTATTGATGGTGATAATCAGGAACATACAGATATCAATAAGCAGTCTCACAGAAGATTATGGAAAAGCTAAATAGAGTTTTGAAACAGTGAGAAACAGGAATAAAACTTAAACCAGTAAAAATACTTTCTGGTAAACAGGCCTTGCTATTCAACACTTAAGCCTTGGTTTTAAGAGCCAGGGAGCTGATTGTGCTTAGCGCTGTTGCAAGTCACTGTCCCTCCTCTTTCTTCTGGCCATGTGCTCCCACTTTTTTTACACTATTCCAACTCTACCTCATCAGCCCCCTTGAGCTGATACAACATGCAAATGCAGCAGGAAACTTGGAGGGGAAAAAAAGAAGTAATCTTCCTCTGGGTTACTGATTTGCATCAGATCTTGGAAAAGTTGGTCAAGGTCATGATAGCATGGTTGGGAGGTGTGGGGGGCAAAGGAAGGAAGAGCAGAACTTCTCACTTCAGGTGGTGGGAAACACTGAACTAGCTGAAGTGATGACGAAACTGTAAGCCTAGACTATTGGGAAGTGGGTTTTTTCCTTAAAAAAAAATGTTGCACAACGTTAGACTACATGAATTCCAGTTTTACTGGAATGTCTGTTGCTTCTTTTCTCCCACTCGCCTCATTGCATGTTTTTGGTAGGGCCGGTATTCCTCATGGGACTAACACACTTCTAGTGTGTTCTGAGTTATGAGACCTCTTTCATTTCTCAGCTCAAAGACCTGCTTTTCATGGTGCATCTGATTACAGAAAAGTAATTGCTCTTCACAATTATTTCTCTTACGGGTTTTTTATAAGGTATGTTGATAATGAGGTTCAATGTACATCTTAAGCCCCACTGTACTTGAAAGTTGCTCAGTTTATGCTGAGCATCTAAAATACTTGGTTAGATCATCTTTTTCTTAGATACAAGGTGGATTCTTAAATTGTTACAGCCCACACAGAGTGCTTCTGCACCGTGGGCTAGATTGTTCCAAACTGGAGGAGCCAGCCACTCAGCTTCCTTTTACTTCACTCATTCATCCTCCCCCTCTTGCTGGCACAATGCATAGTCTTGTACATAAAGCTGTTGATGATAAAGCCAAACCCCAGTAATTAACAGGTTTTTCCTTTCTTGCAGGGCGAAGACAGCACTCCAGCAGTATCTTGCATGATCAAAGACTGACTGAATCTATGGACACCCCTCATGTCTATTTAAGGAATAGCAGGAGATATTCCTGACTCCTTATATTTGCACAAGTCACCTTGGGCTGCATTTTTCTCAGGTGCAGGGAGCTGCTTTGCAGAAACAGTTTAAATGATCAGGTCTCCAATGCACTTGAGAATTTTCTTGAGGTAGTTTCTTTACTCAGAGGACTCTTGGGGGGTTGTTTTGGTTTTTTGGTTGGTTTTTTTTTTCCTGAGCTACCTGGACTTTCGGATAGAACAATCAGTCATCATTTTCCTTTTGGGCCTACAATTTTCTGCTTTTGCTGCAGCCTGCGTGTGTGGATGTGTGTGGGTGTGCTCAAGTGTGTGCGTTTGCTTGGGTGAATGTGTGTGGGTGTGATACTTCAATTTTGTTTTTCCTTTTTATTTTGTGTGAAAATCTTTTTCTACAGGTTTTCAAGGGTTAACCATTGTTTGCTGTACGAATACTTCAATGAATTATATACAGTTTGAATGAAATGTTATTTAAAAAAAAAACCAAACTGTTGTATCCCATAAAGTTTATTTTGAATTTTGAACAGATGAATGTTTTTAAGTAAAATATATGCATTTCTGAACTTCAGCTTAACTTACATTATACTTCCTTTTTAAAGAGAAAAATAGAGGGAGACAGTAGACCCCAAATTATAAGCAGCGCATTCTGTACTGACAAGGTCCAAGACTTTTGGTTTTTTTACCACCATACAAGGTCACCTGGTACTGATGACATGCCCAAATCCATGGAATGAGTCAACTGGATTGTTGTGGGTTTCTTTATGGTTTTAGAAGAAAAGCTTATACTTCAGAGTTAGCATGACTGTTGACTTTTCTGGAAAGGAACAGGTGGCTGCAATAACAGGCATAAGCTATTGCTTTCGTAGCCAAGAACTTGCTCAGATAATTGCTGAAGGATTAGCTTATTTGTGGTGATAAGTATTTCCTGATCACTAATACCAATAGAGCAAACAGTATGTTGCAGAAATTATACTTTCAAGAGACCAGAAGGAGCTGGCAAGCAGTGATTAAGGGATTGTTTTTGTTTTCCATCCTTTACCTCCAGATATAGTTAAGTGACTCACAGATTATTTCCACAAAAGATCAGCTGGGTGCATTAAGTTGGGGAAGGGGTGGAAAAATTGGGGGTTTGTTTTTGGTTTTTTAGCTCAGTAATGTTGCTACAGATTTTCTGTATATATGCAGATATACACACTTGCATGGATTTGGATACCTGGATGATAAGCAATGGGATTTTACGGTGTTCAGAAGCCTAGATTGTCCATAAGTTCCTGAAATTGTGCCTGTAGGTGTGGGGAAAAAAATACAAGTACAAAGACGACTGTGTAAGGTTAGGCTGGAATATGAGACCCCAGTGTCTTCCCAGTCAAATATGCATAGAAACAAATGAGGGCAGCAAGGAGCTCTCCTTCATGCAGTTCAGGGTTCTTGCTTTCTTCCTGTGTCTACTTTCTGATTTCAGTTTAGACCATAGTTTTAATCGTCGGAATCTCCAAACACTATATTTACATAGCACTAACAGGCACACTAAAGATTGCAGCCGATGTCTTAAACCAAATCTTTCTTTTGTTACATGGAACTTCAGGAAGGCTGCAGCAAGAAGAGAGGTCTGTAACTTTGCTAACCAATTTTGATAGTATCTTAATCTTTTATTTCTAATCAGAAGGTCAAATTGTGATAGCCTTACTTTTTTCCAAGGTAACTACTTGTATCAGAAAATGTGACCACAGTTTGGCCTGGAATTTGAATGTGCTGTGTATCAGATAACTGTTATCACTTGGTTGCAAAGGAGAATATATACATTTCATGTAACTTCTTCCACTCTTGAAAGACAAATAAAAGTGAGCACCTGACACTTTTTCCCCAGGCATTGCAGTAAGTGACTGGCAGTTTTTTAATGTCCTTCTGCAAATTTTTCATTATGGACTTTGGGGGCTGGACAAAAGGGAAAGTAAAAATATGTGAGAACTTGATAAATATCAGTGCCTCAGAAGCGAAATCTCACTTATAAAATTCAATCAAATATCTTTTTGAACTGAGGAAAAAGGTCTGAGGCTAGTGTTGCAAATGCAAAACTGTACAGCGTGCATCTGACTTCTAAATTTGCACTCCTGCTATGTACGTTTAGGAGCTCAAGTTCTTATATATCTCTTCTCGTCCTCCCCCAACTCACGTTTCTAAAAGCAAATCTGAGTTTGATTCTATAAAACTTTGGTGCCTAAAGGTGTTCAGAAAAAAGGTGAGTAAGTATCTGTGTACATGTTTTGAGGTGGTTTCCTGAAATTCTACCAGAAAAACTAAAAAACAATGCTCAGACAATCTCGTTGCTGCATGAGAACAGTTGACATTTTCCACAGATATTGATAGGACAAACTGTTGGATGAGAACACTTTTACATTCAGTTAAGCTTTGTGAATAATTTTTGATGTTGCTATAGGTATGTACAAAAAGAAGAATACTGTAAATAAAAAGAACTTTACCAGAACATCTAGATTTTTCTCAGCTTCATGGAGAAATCTCAGCTTTCTGTGCCAGCTTCTCTACAGACATTTGCTAGCCCAAGATTCACAGTGGGAACAAACTTGATTGCTGGTCAGCCGGATCTTTACCAACTTTATTTAGGTAGCAGCGTCTTGTGAATTACAGGGTTGCTTGCAGAACCAAAGCAAGTATAAAGTTGATCTGGACAAAATACAAATCACCAGGGTTTCTGCTGTTCTTGTGCCATTTCTCTTCTGAAAGCCACTCCTAATGAATTTTGATAAGTATGTCCACTCTTTATATCTCGGTCCAGTGATGGTAGTCCTTCTCTCAAAGGTTATTTGTGTCAAAAAAGTAAATAGTTATGCATGGAGTTTGGCATGCTAGCTGTCTGACAAGTGGTACACTTGACTGCTCCCCACCACCTCCAGTCCATATTTGGCATAGTCTCTCCCACACAGAAAGTCAAGTGAGACTTATAATTTGGCTGTGTTGTTACAATCACAGATTCGCACTGTAGTAGTTGAAAGAAGCCACGTGACCTGCTTAAAAGTATCTTTTTAAGGCAAACATCTAATATTTTTTAAAATTTATTTTTACAGACTTTAGCCATTGCAGTAGATGCTGTGCCTCTATGAGACTTCTGAAGCAGTGACGCAACAGGCAGAGGAATAATTGAGGTGCATGAGACTAGATTCTTGAAGACTAGAAAGTGGGTTTAACAGGACTGTCTTTGGTAATCCTAAAATGTAAGCAGGTGGTAGGTGTAAACATGCAAAATTTCAGTGGTGGTTAAAATCATCAGGACTTTACTGGAGGCTTATTTCTACAAAAAGAGACAGATGCTGGGGGCGCCCAGGGGTGCAGTTTGCTGAGCTGGTGTTGGTGGCAGGGCAGGCACTGCCGTGTCCCCTGGAGGCACTGGACAGTGTCCCCTCATTGCTGGGGCACCAGGGGAGTTGACGTGCCAAAAGCCAAATCCTCAACCAGGAGGGACCTCAACCAGCTTGAGGATGGGGCCACCAGACATCATGTACTGCGTGACAAGAAGCAGCATGATCAAGGTCTGCACCTGGAAGGCAGTGACCCCAGGCCTGGGAATGGACAGGGTGAGCAGCAGCCCTACCCAAATGGGCATCGCCCGGAGACTGCTGGACACAGGCACTGTGCTTTCACTGCAAACAAGAAAAGACCCCAACCAACCTTCAAAACTGAGCCGCGTTTGGAGTGGGGCCAGGAGCTTATCCCCTCTGCTCAGTGCTGGGAAGGTCACGTCTGGATCCCACGCCTTGGTTTGAGCCCCTAGTTTAGGAGGGACAGGGGCAAACAGGAGTGCGGGGCTGTGCAGTGGGCTGAGGGGAGTTGGGCAGGTTTGAGAGACAAAGAGGAGGCAGAGGGGCTCCAACCACAGCTGCTGCTGCTTGAAGGGGAATGACAGAGGAGACTGAGCTGAACTTCCTGGCTGCAGCGGATGCTGAGAAGGGAGTGGGGCGGGCTGGGCTGCCGCTCCGCCCTGACGTTGCCAGGGCTGCCATAGCAGCGCTGGGGTGCTGCCATAGCAGCATTGGGGTGCTGCCAGCCACTGCACAGGTACTGCCAGGCCCTGGCTGGGGCCCATTTGCTTCCGCCACCCTAGCAGGGTGAGGAGGGGACAGGCTGCTGTGTCTTTGGAAGTGAGCAACAATTGAGGCCCTGCAGCAGCACTTTGCCTCTTGTGAAGAGAGTGTGAGCAGAGCTGTGTCCAGGCTTTGGGCTCTGCTGAGCCAACCCTGCTCCCTGCAACAGGGCTGGGATGCTGCTGTAGGGGGTATGTCCTGAGTGGAGGAACAAAGGCAGGTAAAAAGCTTTCTGTGTGGTGCAGCTTGGCCAACAGTTGGATTCACATAATTTGAGGACGTCTGCAGTGCTTTGCAATTGGGACTGCTGCTCAAAGGACCCTTATTCCTGCAGAAGGATGGCTGCAAAGAAAAAGGAGGTAGTACTGCAGGTCAGTAGGAGCCAGGCGTTTAAAATATCTTTTAAACTCACGGTAAGTGCAAAGGATGAAGTGCAGTCTTGGGTTGTCTCAGATTCTGCTGGCAAAGCCCTACTGCGTGATCCTTGTGGTGGAAAAGCCTTCCTGAAGGCAGGTAGGAAGCATGGGAAAACATGGCAAGTAAATCTGTACCCCAAAGTCAGTGCTATGGGGTGTGGAGGGAGATTGCTGCAGGGCTGCAAGTTGCGTTTCAGAGCTGTTAAGAGCTGGCATGGGTTTGGCTGCTTTCACAGATCAAAATGGATAGGTTTGTGTTTTGTGGGACAATTGTTGAGAGGACATTTAGAAGTAGGGAACTGGGGGTGGGGGGTGGTGTGTCTCCTGAACGGTAAGTGTCACTGAACATTTCTGACCATGTATTTAAAAAGATTGCTGTAAAGGTGGAAAAGTTAGGCGGTACAACAAAAATTCAAAGGGTGAAAAACATATTTTACGATGACGTGTAGAGGCATTTTTCCCTATTTACGCTGTGCAAGTGACCTAATGATACTTTATAACTACCTGCGTAGGCAAGAGAGGGTTTCTGAGACAGTTCAGTGTGCCAAAACATTGGAAAACCCCAAAGTAGGTTAATGAAGGTGGTCTTCAAATTTTGAAACAAATTCAGTCTGCAAGAGAGAAATACTGGAGGAGATTATGGGCTCTATAACCTTTTTTATTCACTGTTAAAATTGGAAAGCGTGGAGTGAAAATGTGAACATTTGTTTAAGAGAAAGAGGATCGCTTTGTTAAGGTAAAAATGGTTTCTACTGCTGCTTATCCAACTGTGTTCCTGTGCGATGGGCAAAATTACATCAACCAGACTTTGCACCTTTGGTAACTAAGGGAAAGCTGGGTCTAGATGTGCACAAATGTAATTGTTCGTATCTGCAGATGAAAGCTGAACCTCATGTAGGACATGATGTGATGTCCTAGAAAAGTTCTGGTTATGTTAGAGAAAAGCCAAGTCCTAGTAGCCTCGGGGCATCCAAATGAGCAAAGCACTTTGAAGGGTGCGGGCATTCCCTTCTGAGTCCATCAGTTGAACTCATGGCTGAACTCATTATCACAAA